ATCAGGCCTAGTGAAGGTCAGATACTATAATGCACCAACCATACTTCGGTACACTGTTGGATCAGCCATTGGTTGTCCTTCATCCTTCAATAACTGAGTGTGTGGCTTGCTCGGAGTTGAACAGGGTCTACAATGCATCATTCCAGCCTTATTGAGAAGATCAGTAACATATTTAGACTGATTAATGAAAATGTCGCCATTGTCTCGGTAGGCAATCTGCAAACCCAAAAAATAGGTTAATCTCCCCATGTCTTTCATATCAAATACACTGGCTAAATCATCAATGACTTGCTGTATTAACTTGGAAGAAGACCCTGTGATGATAATATCATCAACATACAATAGCAAGATCACTACATGAGAACCACTGATCTTCACAAACAAACTAGGATCAGAATGAGAAGATTGAAACCCCAAAGTAGGTAAATAGCTTGTAAACTTGGCATTCCATGCTCAGGGAGCCTGTTTAAGTCCATATAGAGACTTAAGTAACTTGCAGACATGAGTAGGATATAGAGAATCTTGAAAACCTTGAGGTTGTTTCATAAACACCTCTTCTTGTAATTCTCCATGAAGAAATGCATTCTTCACATCTAATTGCCTTAAATCCCATTTGTTCATTGCTGCAAGTGACAATACTAGCCTTACTGTTGTGTGTCTAACCACTGGACTAAATGTTTCGTCATAGTCCAGACCATGTTCTTGGCTAAAACCTTGAGCTACAAGCCTTGCCTTGTATCGAGACACCTTTCCATCTTGATCCTTCTTAAGCTTGTACACCCACTTGCTGCCTATAACATTTCTATTTTGTGGAACTGGTACTAATTCCCAAGTACCTTGTTTCTGCAAAGCTTCAAATTCTTCTTGCATTGCATTTCTCCAGTGCACAGAGGTAACAGCTTGCTTGTAATGAGTTGGTTCTGAAGACTCATGAATATCCAATATAGCAGTAAAACCACTAAACACAATATCATCATCAGATGATAAAGAAGAACCTGGAGGCATGGATACAGAAGCACAATAACCAGAATAATCTTTTCTTTGTAAAACTCCACTTTTTAACCTTGTAATCATATTATGCTCAGAAGGCACATTAATTACATCAGTATGAATCACAGGATCATTTACATCATGAAGAGAAACTGAAGATGTACCAGCCACAACATCAGGAGAAACAGATGAAATATCAACCATATTGTCAGATGTAGAACAATCATTTGGAGATAGATCTTCAGAGTTAGAAGTTACCTGAATTTGGGAAGGGATATGGACAGGCAACCTTGGAGAGGAAGGAGTTGGATGTAGAGTAGTAGCTTGTAATGGTAACAATCCTGAACCTGATGCTGTACCAGAAAACTGAGAAGAAACAGAATGCAGCTCCATGTCTGGATTATTGACCACATCATTCACCCCATGTTGCTCAGATTCATGTGACAATGCAACAGAAACAACTCTAGGTAACTCTCTTTGTGTAGTGGAAGTAGACACAGATTGAGGAACATGTATGGATTGAGATGTCTTAAAAGGAAATACATGTTCATCATGAATGACATGCCGAGACAACAATAACCTTTTTGTAGGTATATGAAAACACAATACTCCTTTGTAACCTACTGAATATCCCAAAAATACACATTCATCACTTCGTGCTTGTAGCTTATTGACATTATAAGGTCTCAAATAAGGAAAGACTGCAGAACCAAAGACCTTTAATGACCCTAAAGAAGGTGATTGTCCAAACAACTTCATATAGGGTGATATCATTTCTAAATTCTGACTAGGCATTCTATTTATCAAGAATACTGCATGACTACACGCATGAAACCAGAACTGTTGAGGTAAATAAGCTGCACTCAGTAATGTCACAGTAGTTTCAACAATATGTCTATTTTTCCTCTCAGCAAGACCATTCTGTTGAGGTGTATATGGACAAGAAACAAGATGCAAAATGCCATTGGTATCCAAGAAGGTCTTAAACACTTTACTCATGTACTCTCCTCCTCCGTCAGATTGTAAAGCCTTAATATTTGTATTGAAATGATTCACAATAAAGGCATGAAATTTCACAAATACAGTGTACACATCAGACTTATTAACAAGTGGGAAGATCCAAGTAAACCTTGTGCATTCATCAACAAAAATTACATAATATCGGTAACCTTCCACTGAAACAGTAGGTGAAGGTCCCCAGACATCAGTATGCACTTTTTCAAAAGGAATACTTGACTTATTACACTTTGAAGGAAATGGTTGTCTAGACATCTTACCCCTAATACAAGCTGAGCACAACTGAGGACATTTATCTAAAGAAACAGAAATCTGAGAGTCTTGAAGCATTTTTAGTTGAACCTCATTGGTGGGATGCCCAAGTCTATGATGCCAGATAGATGTCTTAACAAGTTGCCCCAACAAAGCTTGAGGTGTATTATTCATTAGCTGAGAATATTTGTAGAAATGCTGCTGAGGAATGTAATACAAGCCACTACTACTACTCCTTCCTTTCATGAGGATTTTCTTGGTTGCCTTGTCCTGCACCCAAAAACCAAATTCATCAAGTATAACATAACAATGATTATCCTTGCATAGTCTATAAACTGATAATAAACTAGCTGCTAACTGTGGAACATGTAACACCATTTGAAGAGTTAAAGATTTAGAAGAGGTTAAAAGAGAACCCAAACCAGTGTTAGCAACGGGAAGTCCCTCTCCATTGCCAACTGTAATCTTGTCATTGCCCTCAAAAGGTGTCACAAGTGTCAAATTATCAAGGTCAACAGTCATATGGTGAGTAGCTCCTGTATCTAACACCCAATTTGGCTGTGAAGAAGACACGAAATTCTGCTGAGCTTGGGCAGTAAGTGCAGCCAAAGAAGGAGATGGTTGATCACCTTGGTATGCATAATTGCCTCTGTGATAGCAGTTGAGAGCAGTATGGCCTTTCTTTCCACAAATTTGACATGCCATAACTGGAGGAGCGGAACTGGAACTTGCATCATACCTTGAGTAACAATTAGGAGCAGTATGGCCTCGTTTATTACAAATCTGACATTCAGGAATCAGTGTTGTTTTGGAACCAGTATTGCCATTCCAATTCTGCCAAGTTGAACCACCTTTAGATCCAAAATTAGCGCTTCCATTATTATTTGTGCTCCCAGGAAAGAAATTTGAATTCCCTGAGAACCTGCCATTATTGTTCCCATTATACCTAGGCCTGTTGTTAAACCTTCCATTGGTACCTCCATAATTCTGATAGCTCCTGTTATTATGAGAATTTGCATTATTTTGTTGATGAAACTGAGGAAGATACGCCTGAGACACAAGTGCCCCAGTTGACCTTTGAGTATTATTCTGAGAATTAGCATTAGCACCACTGACAAAACCATAACCACCAGAAAATTGTTGAGCCAATCTTTGACTCTGTGATGAATTAGCATTTGAAGATTCACCATGGCAATACATGCCTGACATAGGAAAATTCAGTGTAGATTGTGAATCTTCAGCAGTCCTCTCAGCGGCCAATAATTGAGCTCGAAACTCTTTAAGAGAAATAGGAGTTTCACGAGCCACAATCACAGTACGGATCATGTTAAATTCTGCTGGCAATCCAGCCAAAGCAGCAACAATAAGATCATTTCAGAAACAACTTCTCCAGCAGCAAGAAGTTGATCCTTAAGAACCTTGATTCGCAACATGTATTTCTCAACACTATCCGAACCTTTCTTAATTGTCAGTAACTCAGTCTTGAGATGATTCACTCTTGCTCTCGAAACAGTAGCATACCGATCTTGCAAATTCATCCAAGCTTCATGTGCAGTTCTACAACCAACAACATATTCAACTGCTTCATCTCCCAAAGTAGCAAGCAATAGACTCACAAGAGCCCTATCTCTTTTAATCCACTCTTTATAAGCTGCTGTAACTTCAGTAGTGATACCACCGTCTTCAGTAAAGACAAACTTTGGTGGACAGACAGAGGTACCATCAAAATGATCAAACAAATCATTTCCTTCAAGAACAGATCTAAACTGAAAGGACCACTTCACAAAATTATCCTCCTGAAGTCTAATGGTTAACATTCCAAGTAGACTTTCAACCTTCACCATATTCATCGCCATTACTCCAAAACTGGAAGAACACAGTAATTTCAACTACAAAATCAACCGCAACAATCAAGAAGCAACAAAGAGCTTCGTGCTCAAATCTCGTGCTCAAATCAGTAATCAAGGAGCTGCGTGCTCAAGAAACAACCAATGCTGTGCAAATTGATAAAATCAAACAATTATAGGCTTCGTGCCCTAGAAATCAGCAACAATCAAGAAACAACAAGGAGCTTCGTGCTCAAATCAATCACCAGTAATCAAGGAGCTTCGTGCTCAAGAAACAATCAATACTTTGCAAATTGATAAACTCAAACAATTATAGGCTTCGTGCCCTAGAACTCAGCTTCGTGCCCTGATATCGCAACAACGATCAAAGATCCCAATCTGAACAGATCAAGATACGCCTCTGAAAAACCGTAAGCCTGATGAGCTAACCAGGATCCTCTTCACCGGTTTACTGAACCTCGGCTCTTGATACCATGATAATTATGGCAGATTAAGCCATAAATCTCCATCGAAGAGCAAGAACAAAGAACAATGAATATGAGAGTAGAGAGAGAAAGCGATGTATTGCAAATGTTGTATTTACTGAATGAATACAATTGCTTACATTTTCAGTAATATATATACCTATTTAAAGAAGCTAACCAAACAAACTTACAGCTGTCAAAACTTAATAACTAAGACATCTAAACACCTTAACCGCCTAGCTAACTTATACAAAATATGACTAAAATACCCATGCACATATATCCTTGGTTAATAATTTTTAGATATACCAAAGAGTGATCGTATTAATAGCTTGGTTCTGTTTAGGGAGGTGATTTTCACGTCTTCTGAATCTCTTATTGAGGGTGTAAATTATGCCACGTGTCAAAAGACAAGGAAAATAAAGCATTCATGAATCTCCCGATTCGTTAAAAAAGGCAGAAACAAAAAGGAGCCGAGGGAGTAAACACAACAGGAGGGTTTCAATTTTCACGTCGTTCTTCGCGAGGCTCTGTGGTGGCTCTGCAACCCAGACTCATTCCGACCCTAGGTGAATTTTTTTTCCAGAATTTCCGAAATTTAACTCTCTTTTGGCGACCGATATATCGGCGCTAGAGCCAACGCCTCAAAATTCCGATATATCGCCGAATGTGCCGGTTTCTAAAGGATAATCATGTTCAATTTTTTGGTTTGATTTAAAGGAATTTCTTACACAAAAAAGTTAGGGTTTTCTGGTTAGTTTTTTGGGTTGTACATCTGGGTATTTCGTACACACAAAAGTTAGGTTTTTCTGCTTAGTTTTTTGGGTTGTATATCTGGGTGGTTTTATTTTCTTCAAATTTGTGACTTTTGTGATTTGAGATTTGTACATAAATTGAAATTTAGTTTTTCTGATTTCAACTCTCATTCGTATCCTGACATTTCCTCATCATTAAAATCGGTTTTTTGTGCTGTTCTTTTCCAAGCTCGGTTGCAGATCCACAAAGGCATGAAGGTTTGTCATTTAAGAATATATTATAAATGTGTGTATTGCGTTATACATGTGGGAGTGTGAATATGTTTTTTTTCCTGGGTTGATTTAGTTAATGAGGTTCGTTATAATTTCAGATTATTTTGGTTCCTGTTAATCTAATCGGACGTTAGAAGAGGAGGTGGATGGTGTTTGAAAAGCGTTGGTTTTTCAATTTTTTTTTATTTGTGCCCTTTTAGTTTTTTGAATGAAATTTTTATAATGTAAATCAATCTAAATTGAATAGCTTTGTTTGTATATTGTATTTGGTTTATTAAATAGAATGTGATTTAATGCTTTGGAATCTTTATAAACATAATATCTATACAATTTTTAATCCCACAGCAACGCGGGGCATAATTTCTAGTTGCAAACTAAAGTTGCTCTCCATTGCCGAAACAAGGTTTGTTTTCTCCACTTTTTTTCCTTTCTTTTTTTTCTTATTCAATTATGAGCTGTCCAAATTTTTAAATTTTTCAGATTTGCTTCCATACTTGTGAATCTGTGATGCTTAGAATATTTAAGGAAGTAAAGGAAGGTTTACAACAAACGGTGATTAGCACTAATTGGGCTTTGTACGAAGAAGAAGATTTGGTTAAAGCAATGATGGTGAAGCAAAATATATTGGATGAATATTTTTGAGAGAAGATTGATTATATTCTTTTCTTTACTGCTCCAATATATGAGGTTATTAGAATGGCTGACATAGATAAACCTTATCTTCACTTGGTGAATGAGTGGTGGGATGCTATAATTGAAAAGGACTATCTACAGGAATGAGCGCAAGGCATTACATGAAAAAAACAGCTTTTTTGATGCAGTGTATCGCATTTTATTGGAGTGATGGACTAAAAGTAGCACATCACTTCATTGTTTGGAGCATTCATTAAATCCAAGGTAATGATTTTGCTAATTTCCTTATTAATTCTTCTAGACCAATCTTTAGCTTTATGAGTATATTTTTAAAGTGCTATTTCTTTTATTTTAGGTATTATATTTCAGAATGGCTCCAAGAAGACCTTAGTCATCTTGCTCCACACTGAGATGTTGAGCTTACAACTGAAAGGAAAAAGTGTTTTGAGAGATACTTTTCCAATGAAGAAATTAGAAGAAATATCAATGTGGAGTATGACGCTTTCTCTATGTGCTTAAATGACTTTGGAGCTATTGATTCTATGAATGATAGGTTTCATTTGGAACCAGTGATGTTGTGGATTGTCCATGGAGCTTCTACACCTAGTCTCGAATCCATAGCATTGAAGCTACTTGGACAACCTTGTTCCTCCTCTTGTTGTGAAAGAAATTGGAGCACTTATAGTTTTGTTCACTCTCTAAGAAGGAACAAGATTACACCACAAAGAGCCAAGGATTTGGTATTTGTACATAATAATTTTCGTCTTCTATTAAGGAATAGCTCAACCTACAAAGAAAGTATTACTCAATTGGGGGATGTTGGAGGAGATGGCTTTGAAAACTTGGGTGAAGAAAGTGTCGGAATGCTTGAAATTGCTAACCTTTCACTTGATGAGCCGTCATTGGAGGCTTCTTTGGTTACTGTAGGAGACATCGTGAATGTGGAAGTTGAATGAAACTTTTTTTTTTTTAATTTTCGTTTGGATGTTTTTTTTTTTTTAATTTTTCAAGTTTGAAGACTAATTGCTTGTTGGATCTACTATCTTTCTAACTGTTTGGAGTTTATTGAAATAAATTTGAAATTGAGTAATAAATTTAATGCTTATTTTTAATGTTTTAGATATATTTATTTATTTATATTTTTAATTGCTGTATTCCTAACGTATTGTGTCTTCGTTTTTAGAAATTTGATGTGTTCCCGTGTCGTATCTCCGTATCCCTGTCCGTGTCCATGCATCGTAGGTTACCAGAGACGAACCCTAGATCGTTATAAGCCGAGAGAATCCTAGAGGATATCTAGATTGTAGGAACTCCAAGACTTAGGAATCTAATTGTGTCTATATCCGGATTAGATCTCGTGTCTTCTGGAACAAGTTTGGTCATCCAATGGAGTTGTTTGGACTCTGTCTATTGCCCCAGAACAAGGTGACGGTGGCACTGCTACTCTGTCTGATCCAGCTCCTGGCAAAGCTGTTAAGTTCATGACCAGACTTCTGAGGTAATAGTACCCGGATCAGCCTTAGTTCGGTTTTGAAAAACCATGTGTGGAGCCAAAAATAATCACAAGGCGACACGTGGATTTTTTAGTAAAAGATGACCAAACTACCCTTGAGACACACCAGGATTTCTACACGCGAGCAGCTCAAAAATGCTCCAAAAAGGTAACAATTCAATATTCATCTCATCAAATCCCGTAACCTCCAAAATATTTATTCCAAAATTATATTAATTGGTTAATTAATAGATTAATTACCCAATTAATCCATTAAACATCAATTAAAACATCCAAATACCCACAACATATATCTCACTCAATCCCAAAACTAGTGATTGACCGGCCACCCCCTTGCTCCCTAGCTTTTCATACTTTTCTCCATTTTATTACCCTATTTACACAACTATTCAATTTTGTAACCTCCTATTTGTTTCTTTTATACTTAATTGGCCAATAAATTGGCTAATTAAGCCAAAACTATAACCACCAAAACCAATTAGTGGCCAGCCACACCTTGGGAAAATTGGGCAAAGCCTAACCCTATAAATAAGCACCCATTCTCACCGAAAAGCTATTCCAACACTCTTGCAAAAATCCCAAAATTCTCTAAACACTCTTTCTCTCTAAATTCTAACTTTGGCATCGGAAGTTCTTCGGCCAAAGCCCCCCCCATTCATCGTGGGCGCGTGAGGCTTATGGCCATAACCAAATGTGTTATTTATTTTGTAGGTGCAATTTTGTCCAATATCAAGGAGGAAGAAATTCGCATCCACATCATGGTCCCACAATTAAGTTTGTTTTAAGAGACAATATGGCCTTTGTATCAGCTCTTCAATTACGATACAAGTTCACTTGTGAGGTAGTGTTTTTTCTATTGTTTCTTCCTGATTTGGAAAGTGGAAGCCCTAACTTTTAACTCTGAGCTTGAATTTATCACCCTGATGTGTATTTATTTACCTATTTGGTTGATTTTGCTGTGTGCTTTTTGGGTTGATACAGGTCATCGACGTTTTGCATCCTGGTCAGCCCAATGTCTCCAAGGTTTGGTTTCTTTCTTCGAGCTTTCTGGTTCTTTCAATGGAGATTTGATTCTGGTTATTTGACGTTATTGCACTAGTTAATAGGAAATGTGTATGATTTCGATATTAGTTTTCTAAATGATAGAATTTCAAATCACGAGTTTCTTTCAATGGGAATTTGATTCTGTTTATTTGATGTTATTGCACTAGATCTAATTAACAGACCAATGATGTCTATCACGAATTATGCATATCAAGAACCAGAGGAAACATGCTCCTTTTATTCCACATACATACATACATACATATATATATATATAGGAAGCCTTCAAAGGGCCTGTATATATATATATACACACACACTTTCTTGTAGACAAGAGAATTAACAACACATTACAAACGTTTAAGAGAAACCTACACCAAGTCTGAGCAGGGCAGGCAGGCATGCATGCAAGAACGGAAACCAAGTTTGTTCAGCGAGTCCTTAAATGGCTGAATTTATTTACTAGTAGGCATACATTTTTATTTTAGTTTTTGTTCCAAGATGAAATTTTCTCTCTCATTCTTGGTAAATAGACGAGTCTTCAAGACTCCATTGCTGCTATCTTCAAGCACTTTAATATAACACCACAAATTAGGATGAATGTCGAAAAGAGAACGACCAATTTCCATGTTGCAGCTTCATTCTTTGCTCGTCTTTTCTTTTCACGTGACAGTTTTTGGGCAAATCTGCACAAAGCATGAACATATGAACAACATTTTTTTGTTAACACCAAGTAATATCTACTATGCTAACCAAAATGAAAGGGATCATAATGATTCTTGTCCTCACTCACTTTGCAATTGCGTCTTTGTATTTGTATTTCTTGTCAATTAGTTCATCATACCGGCCAGTGTTGAGGTTCAGTGCCCTGACACTTTTTTCAAGGAGTTCAGTCCCAGCATCCTGAAGTTTCTTGAGATTGTCTTCACTTGCATTAGTCATATCAGTTTGTTTAGGATCCAATTCATCATCCTGCAGCACGGATAACCAGCAAGTAAGAAGGTGTGTGCCTGCATCTGGAGATGACGTTGAAGTAAAGCATACATGGACGTGGTTAATCAATCGAAAAGTAAACCTGGATCCGGAGATAATTGGAATCAGAGCCGGAGACTTTGAAGTAAGCAGACAGGTATACTTCAACCATGTTGACACTTGCAGTCATAAGAACATCTATTAAAGGTGTGACGCCCTTTTGAGGCAGCAGCCATGTTAAGATTCCCCAGATGCTGGGATCTCCGATTGTCAGCTCCATATGCTTCTTTGCAGATCCAGTTCCCAGGGACAGAACCAGAAGCTTACTACTATCAATGTTCGGTAGGCGCTCTGCCACACTTTTGTTATCAGACCTCTCCTTGGCCATTTCAATGATTGCAACCAAAGTCTGGAAACGTTGGTGTAAGAAGTTTGTTGAACATGATGCAATCTTCTTGGATTTTGTTATCATTTATATATGTCATACACCATCATTAAGATCATCAAAATTAAGTATTAAAATTGTACAGTAGTACTTACGGGATTGTTGGCTGCAACACCACCATCGACGAGGTTATATTCTCTTTCGTGAAACCCAAATCTGTGAGGAGGGAGGTAGTACGGTGCTGCAGATGTACCAATGCAGATATCTTTTAGCAGAACATTCTTTGAGCTATCGCGTTTTCCCTGCTATCATGATTTATGTGTTAACGAATACTAATACTAGAGAAATAAAACTCCGATTTGAGTAGACTTAGGCTAGTGTAGACTATATTGTCCACAATAAAATAAAGAAAAAAGATACTCGAGTATTAGTTATACAAATATGCTTCGAAAACCATTACTAATCGAACCTGCAAGGTGGAGAAGACGACCGGATGGAGGTTCTTGAGATCATAACAGGGAATGATAATGTTGGTTAAGGTCTCTTGAATCCTTGTTTCTCCAATGGTCGTCTTGATCTTCTCGTGCAGGGTATCACCTGCGAATATTGGTCCTTTTGCCGCTTTCCAGAAGTCTTCGAGGTAGTCCTTCCCAATTCCCAGCCACTTCTTAACTATATCTGTCCAGTCGTCGTGACCGACGGAACCACTAAGAGCAATGGTGGGAGTTTTTGGGGAAAATAAAATAAAATTAGCAAGCAGTAGATTTACCACGTGAAAACCTCCAACACCAAAACAGAAGAAAAAAATGATGGCTTTCTTCCCATTGAACACCTTCCCAACCCACTTTAATGGCGTGTCCATAGCTATTGACCCTAGCCACAGACAAGCAGTGGCTATAACAGTCAATAGCCACAGAACAGAGGCTATTGACCCTAGCCACGGACAAGCAGTGGCTATAACAGTCAATAGCCACAGAACAGAAGCTTAAGTTTGATTCTTGTCAAATGTGAATTTGAACTACATTGTTGTTAGCTCATTGTGAGGCTAAGTTCACCCCTTTAGTGTAGATAATTTCGTTTGTTCAAAAAAAAAAACAACTTATTAACTTATCAGCATACATATATGTTGGAGACTTTATGTTATTTAATATCTCTAATATTAGAAAGTCAGAAATACATTTGGTGTTACAAGGCTTCACCAAAAATATTTGGACACAAATACCCCTAAAACAAAAAAAAACTCACCACTACAAAAAGGGTTATAATCTTCAAGGGCATTTTTGTAAAAACAACTTGAGAAAATTAAAGAACAAACGCAAAAAAATAATAATAAAGAGATAAACCATTGCATTTAGCCTCAATCTCTAAGTTTATTAGTTTTTCTTACTTTCTCTGTAGTTGTTTATATTAATCTTGTACATAATTGATGTTTTGATTTTTGTATGATTATAATCATTGGAATTCTTCTATTATTTTCATAATTATTGCTCCAACAATACATACGTACCTTGTGTCCTCTGCAGGTTCCCTTTTTGGTGAAGGGAAGAAATTTGGAGCCTCATCAACAAAAAATTTGACGATTTTATTTGCTGCAAATTTAGGTTTATTATTTTCATCAGGTGTGGTGAGCATGGCTGTGATAAGGCCTCCTGTGCTGGTTCCGGCAATGAAGTCGAAGTAGTCTGCAATCCTTGCATCATCACCATCCAGTTTCTTTTGAAATTTTCATTCATGCAGATGCGAGGAACAACATCAGTAACAATTTGGTACAAACGTAATTAAAGAACACATTCCAGTTAGGAAGAACCAGGGCCGTCCAAACATTTTGGAGGTCCTGGGCAAAAACAGAAATGGGGCCCACAAACCTACAATACGAGCAAAAACATGTATGTTTTTTATGTGAATTTTTTTCTTTCTTTTCGACTAGGTATTTGAAGGATTTTCAATAATTTGAATAAATATATTTCTTTGTCGTCATATATAAAAAAACAAAATTTCATCGTAATACTTGGTTAATTGGTCATAAAGAAAAGAAGATTGTTATATGGTAAAAATACTAGTCAATTGAGCAATACTTGACGTCTAAAGTGTCTAAGTACAGACTTTGACAAAGCAATTTTCTGAGAAAAAGCCTTGTAGAATTGGTAGAAGTGAAAGTTCTAATTTTTGCAGCTGCCTGAAAGTGATCTCATTTTTTGAATAATCTCTGTACTTGCCAAATTAATTTGGTAAGGACATACATACATTATTTTGTTGAAAGTTGAACTTGAATTGGAATGAATATAAAAAACATGCGCATCTAGTTAACCTTCTTGATGAATTAACCAAGTTTTAGCGATTATAATTGAAGGTAAAAGAAATTAACAATCAAACAAAAATTAGTAAAAAATTGGAAGAAAAAAAACGGCGTAAGACTAATTCAAACCTTGGACTTCATTATTACTAGAAAACAACGGCACCAGCGCCTATAGTTAACCCTCTTGTTGAATTCACCAAATTTTAATAAATATAAGCAATTATAAAAGAAATTAACAATCAAATAAAAATAAGTGAAAATAAGAAAGTAAAAGGCATAGAGACTAGTTCAAACACGGGTCCTCATTCTTACTACAGAATGACGGAACCAGCGCCTCTAGCTAACCTACTTGATGAATTAACCAATTTAGTTTTTTAATTTATATGCTTATAGGAGTATATCCTAATAATTTTGGTGCCTCTGATTTTTTTGGGCTTGGAGAGTCGCCCTGTTGGCATTGGGCCAGGGTCAGCCCTGCCAATAACAAAAGGGCGGGAACAGAGACAATATACATAACCTGGAGTTCGGATTCAAGACGGTCGAGTATGGTGGCCGGGATGATGCCTCTTACTCCTCCTCCATCAATGCTAAGAATTGTGGTATATTTTCCACGATTAGGTGTTGTCATGTTGTCTGATGAGCTAATGTAGTTGGGAGTACTGATGAGCTAATGTAGTTGGGAGTACTGATATATGATGACCTTCATAATTACGAGAATGAAAGGAGAAAGCATTTAACAGAATCCGTAGTGGGTGGATAAATTAAGTACATATCTCTTTGATAAGCTTTTCTTTATCAGGAGAAAGCATTTAACAGAATCCGTAGTGGGTGGATAAATTAAGTATATATCTCTTTGATAAGCTTTTCTTTATCAGATGTGTAGTGGATGGATGGATGAAGTGAAGTATATATATCTTTGAGAAGCTTTCTTTTATCAGACGTATAGTGGATTAATGGATGAAGTGAAGTATATATCTCTTTGAGAAACTTCCATGATCTCTTTGAGAAGCTTTCCTTTATCTCTTTGAGAAGCTTTTCTTTATCAGATATGTAGTGGATGGATGGATGAAACGAAGTAAGTATCTCATCAGAAGCTTTCCATTATTAAACGTTTAATGAATTAATGAAGCAAAGTATATATACTTGTTTGAGAAGCTCTTTAAATGTCACCTTTATATGATTTAAGCCTTCTTTATCTCTTTGAATCCTGTAAACGATGCATCTATGTGAATGAAGCGAAGTACATACCAAACTACTTCCTCTCCAATCATGGCAATCATCCGTTAAGGCATTTGTGCAATGATTGACGAATAGGCAACCCTCTTTCTTCACGTGTTAATTTAGACATTAATTATGTAATGATTGACGAATAGGAAAGGCATCTCTCTTTTCATGTTAAGGCATTTATAACATTGGGTGGGCATGGGCCGGCCGAAGCCCAAAATTGGAGGGACCGAGCCGGATCCATTTGAAAATAAAACGAAGAGAGATGGATCTGGTTAGGTAATATAAAATTAAAGATTAATATCAGTTTACTATCCATACATCTGTTAAGTTTTTCGTTAGAATTTATGGTAATTGATGACGTGACGTCCATGTGAACAATGACTAGAAATCACGTGTTAATAAGAGCCCACGTGAATATTAAAAAATAAAAAAATTAATAAAAATTTTAAAAATTAAAAAATTACAAAGTCATCTTCCTCCCTGCTCCCCCCCTCCGTTCGTCTTCCCTGCTGTACGAATCTGCGGCAGAGGGTATCGTCTCTCATTCACATTTGCACCAGTCTGAATGACGAGCCCAAAGTCCCTTCTAGCACAAACACATACACAATCAACCTCCTCTCTCATTCAAATCCACACCCTCCCCTCAATTCCCCAATTTCCCCAGATCCAGTAATCCCAAAATCAACACCAAATTAAGAAATTTCAACACAAATTTAAACGGAAGCCCTAGAAACTTTGGAAAATTCCAACTTCCAAACCCCCTAGGATTGTTCGAAATTTGAAATTAGAAACCCTAGGCTTTCTTTGGGAATGAGAGATCCATTAGGGCGGCGATGGCAGATCGGAGAGAAGTGGAACAGAATTCAAAGAAAAGGAAGAGAGAGGGAGAGATAGAGAGGAGAGGAGATAGATGATCTCCTCGTTGGTGGTGCAGGAGTCGAGGAGGGAGGGGGTTTGGATGGGTGCAGAAGATAGAAGGGAGAGGAGAAGGGAGGGAAGGTCGGGGATGAGGTGGGAGACGGGGTGGGTATCAGGGAAGGGGTAGGTAGGGTGGGGAAGGGGACAGGATAGAGGCCCAGATTTTATTTTATTTTATTTTATTTTTTTGAATTTTTGAATTTTTAATTTTTTAATATCCATAAAGGTCTATATTGACATGTGACGTCTAGTTATTATTCACGTTGATGTCACATCATCAGTTAACGATTGATTTAACAACAGTCTTAACGGATGTATGAAAATATCTCAAAATTATTATTTAAGGTACCACTCTAAAATGAAAAAAACTTAATATACCAAATATTAAAAACTAATAATTTTCAAAATATAGTATAATGTTGCAGTCCTATTAGATTAGGAATGTGATTGTGTAAATTCTAGTATATCTTGGAATATCTCTTATATTTCTATTAGGCGTAGATTACCTATTAAATGCTGTAATCCTAAAGGGTAATGAATTAACCTTCCCTACTACTATAAATAAAGGCACAACGAAGTGGAATAGAACACACTCACAATTACACATCTCTCTCATTCTCTCTACCTATTGTTGCACCCCTCTCTCTAAGGCCTCCATAATTGTTCAGTAAATTATGCCTACAATACATTATTAGCACGCTCTTGACGCTGTGCTAAAGAGTGTTTGATTTTCAATCAGGGGAGTATTACGTTTTAATCATTCTTTTTATGATTAATTCGTATTTTATTGAATTGATCTACATGATATTGATTCAATTTAATTTTTTCTGTGTTGAACGTGATACAACGCATTGGAGATACAATTCCGGCTTTATGAGAAAGATCTTCTACAAATTCAAAGGCTCTTGTTGTTTTCTGCCAATCAGGTGCGTTTAAAATAAAGTAAGATATTTGAAACGACATTGAAGCATGAAAACATTCCCTATGATGCATGAACCCCTTATGTTTATTTTTTCTTTCCGATTATATATATATATATATATATATATATATATTGTATATATTCATATATTTGTCAATATATATGTTTGTTTCATGCATTACGCAATTATATTTGCTATGTGGAATATGTGAGTCAAAGTATATTCATAAATTAGAAGCAATTAGGTTTTTAAACCCTAGGTTCAAAAAAAAAAAAGGGTAATTTTTAGCACCACCGTGGCGACAGACCTTGGGACACCAATTTGGACCTTTGCGTAGCCCTATGGGGCTTGCTGCCTTCCCTCAACATTCAACTAGGCCTCAGCCTATGATGGTTATCTTATGGGCTTGAAAGCCTTAGTCCAAAACCTAACCCACAACCCGCATGCCTGAAGCCATGCTGGGCTTGTCATTGTCACAGGCTTGAAGCCCCGGCCTGTCTGCATCAGTTTTCTGGTTAGCTGGACTGGTTCTCTACCACGGCCCGCTTGCTGCTGGGCCCTTACCTCACCTCGGCCTATATGCCACAACCTTTTTGGTTGCTGGGCTTGTGCCGCAACCCAATAACTCGGCCCCAATTAAGCCAGCACTTGCTGATGGGCTTCAAAATCCTCAGCATGTGGGCTGTTATTACAGCCACATCCGATCACTTTGCTCACGGCACCCAGCCCAATTTTTGGGCTATCGTATTTTCGACCTAACGCTATTATTTTAGCATTCTAAATAATTTTAACCTGTCTGTTAATATTATTTTGTTTCTACAATCGACCATGTATGACCCGATTTATTGAATTAATTAAAAGTAATATGCAGTCCATTAATCTAATAATGAAACCAAAATTATTGACCTGAAGATCTGACACACCCCAACCGAAGTCGAGACGTGTTGGCCGTTACGTGAGCGTGACGTAGCCTTGTGCGCAAGCGAAAATGATAAAGAATAAGGAAAAACGAACAATTTAAAACCAAGCAACTAGCAATTCCAGTTAAGAAAGGATGCTAGTGAGGGTCTAAGTGTACAAATACACTTTCAGAGCAATAAGAATATCTAGTTGCAGTCAAGTAGGGTAATTACTAAGATACAACACCCTAAGGTGAATCCTACTTTTCGGATTCTGTCATAACACCGTTGAATTCCTCGTGGCCACCAAACTCTACTACCTAAAACCTGGAGGGGTGAAAAACAAAGTTGAGTGGGTCAGTAAAATACATTTACACAAAAACCTTATTTTCCTTTGAATATACTAACCCCTCATCGTAAAACAAGTATATAGATACTTTCCCAAAAAATAGAATGCATAAATATGTATATATCTCAAATCATGCTCAAAATCAAGATTCATATTTGTATGTATGCCATACCTATATATAACAAAATAAGCAATTCAGGTAAGAATAGTTTCATAGAGACTTATAACATGTTAGCCGGAACCCCTGTGGTAGTCTGTACAGCTGAATTTATAGCTCAAAAGTCAATCTAACTGGAGTCACTACAATGACCTATACAGCAATATACTGCACAAGAGTCGGAACCAAATGCAAAGGTATGTACGACAATAATGGGGTAATATAATTATGCTCAATACTACTCTCACATAATAGCCGGGTGATAAATCACTAGTCACCTACGAGTCGGAACCATAAATAAGGTCTGTACGACAAGACTGTGCGCCTAAATTGGATCCAATGTGAGCATATGGTGCGGGATGTGACATAATAAACAGGCTTGTGTCATATCTCTGGCTAAATCACAATCACCCTAAGTGCAGTTTTATGAGCTCAACAATATTCAATCATATATCACAACATCGACAATTCACATAACTAAACGTAACTTACCTGAACTTACCTGAGCCTCCACAGCACCATGCAACAATATGCATAATTATGATAATGCATATACTAAAATAAAATATAGGTATAGCACAACATTTAAATCACATTTCCTTAAATATATTTTCTGGGAAAAACGTCAAGAGTGTGTATATATATATACTGAAAATAACTGCCCACTCACAAATATGAAGCCGGGTCGTAACCCCTATGCCTAGCCTGGCTACGCTCGTCCTCCGGATAGGTCTCGCCTATAGAAGAAACAACTATATAAACATCACTTTAATGCATATATACCAAACTATGTAATAACTTCTCATACATAGCTCAAATTGGGTATATGAATATACCACAATGACCTGCACAACGTCACGATCACCCAGGAATTTTTACAAATAATTTTCTGACCCCGCACACGCTGCCACGCGCCGGCGAGTGCACGGCAATACAGTTAAGTTGGGATTCTCTAACCCCGTTAGGAATATTCCGTTAAAAGCTAACGGATTCAGTTAAGTTTACCTGACGGAATATTCGCTCGTCTTCTCCGATTGCTCGTCGGACTCCTCGCCGTCGTCAGAAAACTGGGAAATCGAAAAACCTTCATAACTTCTTCATTTTTGCACCATTTTCTATGAAATTTGTACCATTTTAAAGATCTCAACAAGACAAACAAAAACATACCTGCCCCGACCTCCAACTCGTCAAAAATTCTGGCCAAATTTAAAACTCTTCGTTCTCATGATTCCGACGTCCAATTTCTTCAAACAAGTACTCCAAGCTTCATAAGGACATCCTTAAGCTCCCTATGAGTTTAAATTTCCCTAAAACATAAGGTTTTACGTGAGCATGAATAGTACCTCAAATCAGGTTTTGTGGTTCGACGTGAAATCGAAGGTAATCTTACCTATATTTGG